GCTGTAGTTTGCTGACTCCTGCTTTAATTTATTTCTTTTCACTACTGAATAGTATTTTTTTTTAAATTTTATTTCTTTTCATAGTATTGTCTATAATATGAATATTTTACTTTTTTATTTCTCTCTAGATTCATGTGTAGGTGTCCAGTTTTTCTGCTATTGTACCAGTGCTGCGGAACATATCCTTCCCATGTTTCCTTGTATACATGTGCCAGAGTTTTCACTAGAAAATGGATATACAAAGTTGGAGTTGCTGAGGGCTTTGTTGTGGTTTGGTGGCTGTTTTTGGTGCTGGGCATTCAACCCAGGGCCTCACTTATGCTAAGCCAGCATTCTGTCACTGAGCTCCACCTCCCAACCCCTGTTGCTTTTTAAAACACCAAGTGGACTCATAAAAAGTTTCAAGTACAGGACTGAGGATGGAGCTCAGTAGCAGAGTGCTTGCCTAGCATGTACAAAATCCTGGGTTTGATTGCCAACACTAAAAAATAAACTGTCAGGGAGAATATGATGAGTTTGTGACCATTGCCCTAGAATCTCCTTAGGAAACCCAATTACTGAGAACCCAGTGCACACCTGGTTCTAGACTTTGAGAAGGTCCTCCAAGATGGCAAACAGGAGTGAGGCTGCATGAATCCAAACATGACAGAGGTAGAGAGTGGTGGAAAAATTGCTTCCATCAGGGCATCCTTCCAAGAAAACCCTCTTCTTTGAGGAGGACCCAGAACAAGACTTTAAGCTCTGGTGGCAGGAAATTAAATTAGTCTATCTTCCTGAGATAATTCGTCAAAAATATATGACACGTGTTCCATCTAGCTGGGTGAATTCAGAAAAGAAATGTGCCCTGTGTTCAGAGTTGAGAGATTTGATTAAGAGGACTCATGCTTTAGGAATTTTTTCCTTTTTAAGATTTTAAAGATTAATGTAGGTCATTATCATTCCTTTGTTTTTATCATTTTGGAGAGCTCAAAATATACACAGCTATAGTTTAGCAGATGAGCTCTAGATCAGCTTGCTATAGGTTTTTTGGTACAATCAGGCTTGGGGTCATATTGTTTTGCTATGAAAAGGTCACAGCTTTGCCTCCTGAGAGCTAGGTAATGTACAAGAGACAATCATCTTCCTTTACATTTCTCTTACCTTTCTAGAATCTTGTCTGGGTTGCCATGCACCACATCTGAGGCCCTCCCAGAGGAAGCTCAAGGTGCTGAGATTTTCACTTTGCACCCACCCCAGCTAGGGCAGCCTCTGTTGGAATGGAGGAAGGCAGGCCTAGGAATTGGATGCAACCATAGCTTTCAGGGCCATTCCCCTAGAAATGGAAAGGAGACATCCTAAACTGGCCATGCTAACGCCTGTTACTTTCTTCCTGTCTGGCAAAATTCTAATAGCATTTAGAAGATGTTGAATTGAATGGAAGAGCTGCCTTGTGCTTAATTTTCCTTAAGTGGTTTTAGATTTATTTCTATCAGGTATTTAGATGTCAGTTTAATCCAATTTTAGTTTTGGAATGATGACAATAGAAAATGTTATTCTTGTGATGTTTCTCTTTTTTCTTTTCTTTTTTCTTTTTCTTTTTTTTGATTTGTAGTTCAGGCTGGCCTTGAACTCATTATGTAGCCCAGGCTGGCCTTGAGCTTGTGGCAATCCTCTTGCCTCAGCCTCCTGAGTGGTGGAATATAGGCATGCACCACCACGCCTGGGTGTGGTGATGTTTAATGGGTAAAATTAGGGATCACCTGTGTAATCTGTGGGATAGAATGACCCTTGACAGGGATTTTGGATGAATCTTTTTTTTTTTGGCCCTGTGGGGGGATTGAACTCACTGACTTATGCATGCTAGGCAAGCACTGTACCACTGAACTATACCCCCGGACCTGTATTAATTTTAATCCATCATTATATTAGTTTACAGAGTCCTTCCACCTTTGTAAGTGCCTTTCAGTCTCACAGTCATCAAGAAGGGGGAGGGGCCGGGGATTTAGCTCAGTGATTTCACCGCCTGCTGTACAAGTGCAAGGACTTGAGTTTGATCCCCGGTACCAAAAAAAAAAAAAGAAGGGGGGAAAAAAAATTTACAGAAAATGGGTTTACATAGGGTTTAAAAAATGGGTTTACCGCTGTCTTCTAGTTCTTCATTGTAGACAACAATATTTTATTACATGTAACAACTAGAAGTATGAAAAAATAACTTTCTGTGTTTCCACCTGCTTAGCAACAGAACAATCTAAGAAGGATCAAAGGGAGAACGTGTTGACTCTGTCTATATATTAACCTGAGGCATATTTGCCCAGTGTGGCCCATCATTACTTCCCATTCTCCCACCCTTTTCTTGGCAAGGAATGAGTCATTTTCACAACTAAAAAGAATACTGTTGTCACTGTTCTGAATAGCTATTACAATTACAAATGCATGTATCCTTTGATTCAGAATTGCACTTCTAGGAATTTTTCCTTACAGATAAACTTTCCCACACACAAAATTATGATATGTTCTAGGTTTTTCATAGCAGAATATCAGAAACAGCCACAATGTATCTGTAGTATAGAAGTTAATTAATGATGTATCCATATAGTGACTACTAGGCTGCTGTCCAAAAGAATAATGCAGCTCTGTATTTATTGAGGGAACAACCTATAGGACAGGTTGTTTGGTGAGACAAGGCAAGATGGGGGACACTGCGTTATTTTGCATAACATGCTTTTTTAAAAAGGAAGGGGTAAGTCCATGTGAATACATATTTGCGTGTGTGCCAAGTGTCTCAGGAAGATTATAAATCTAATAACACTTGTCTGTAGGCAGGGAAACTGGGTGGCCAGAGAACAGGTGAGGGGGCAGCACTTGTCTCCAAAGAGCCTTTTGAGTCAGGAACCATGGGAATTATCTGTTTTTAAAAATTCTTTGCACTGAGGTCATCAGGATCTTCAGGTCCCTGTGTATCCATTTGCTCCTCCTCCTCCCAAAGAATACATTTAATCTCCTTTCTTCTGCACCAAGTTTTCTAGAATGAAATGAAGTTCTCTTTTCTTCTCTTTACTTTAAAAATTGTTAACAACTATCTACTTATTTGCTTTCAAATTCTATTAAATTTGTTGATTAAGTGTTCTCTGTGCACTGCGTTATGCCACATTCTCATCTTTGTTTACATGAATCACATATTGCCCAAGCCAGTTTTTGTGGATGCTGTTAGAATTAAAAAGTATTATTAACATGAGCTAGGAAATTCAAACAGCATAAATGCAGACACAGTGAGAAGTTCTTTCTCTCTAGACTTCCAAGTACCCTAGCCCATAGTTCCCCAGTTGGGGCTGCCACTGTTATAACTTTTATATGTATACTTCTGATAATAACTATATGCATATTAAGCATATAACATGCCTATATCCCCCTTTTTGCACCTTTAATTTTTTTAGTAGACTTGATTTTAGAGCAGTTTTAGGTTCTCAGAAAAATGGAGCAGAAGATACAGAGATTTCTATATACTACCTGCCCTACACTTGTATAACCTTCGCCATTGTAGTATCCCCCACCAGAGTGGTATAATATAGCAACTTAGCAAGACCCTGTCTCAAAAAATTTTTACAAAGCCTGGGCCTATAGCTCATTGAAAAGGCCCTGGGTTCAGTACCCCCCCAAACCCCTAAAGAGAGACCCAAAAGAAAAATAACTGTACAGGATATCATTGTATATATATCAAACATATTTCATTCAGTCAGTTGCTTCTTAGCTGGGCATGGTCTTACACAATTGTAATTCCAATACCTAGGGTGGCTACAGTAGGAGGATCACAAATTCAAACCTTCCCTGAACAACTTAGCGTCTTAGCAAGACCTTGTCTCAAAAAATAAAGAAAAGGGTGAGGGATGTAGTTTAGTACGACACTGTGTTTAATTTCCGGTACTGAAAAAGATTTAAAAAAAAACAACTTTAGTCCTCTCTTTACAGAAATTGCAGTTGTCCACAGTCTGTTACCACAAAGGAATCCATAACCAGTATCCTAGCAGAGCATCCTTTGTACAAGACATATACTGTATCTGTAGGATACATTTTTTAGAAATATAATTTTTGAGGGTAATTTAGAAATATAATTGCTAGATCAAAAGATAATGAGCATTTTATTTTATTTTTATGATACTAAGGATTGAGCCCAGGACCTCACATGTGCTGTAATATTGAGCTACATCCCCATATACATACATACGTGAATGAATATATATATATGTGTGTGTGTATATATATATGTGTGTGTGTTTATATGTGTGTGTGTGTGTGTGTGTGTGTGTGTGTGTGTATGTGTGTGTGTGTGTGTGTGTGTGTGTGTGTGTGTGTGTGTGTGTGTGTATATATATATATATATCTGGGATTGAGCCTGGGGGCACTATATCACTGAATTATATCCTCAGCTGTTAATATTTATTAATTGTTTTGTTTTGTTTTTTGAGTCAGGGTATCACTATGTCATTTAAGCTGGCCTCAAACTCATTATAATCCTCCTGCCTCAGCCTCCTGAGTACTGGGATTACAGGTGTGTACCAGCATGCCTGGCTTATTTTTTATTTTGAGACAGGGTCTTGAAATGTAGCCCAGGCTGGCCTTAAACTTATGATCCTTCTGCCTTGGCCTTTCAGATATCTGGGGTTGTAGGCAAATACCAATATACCCAGCTTTAAACTGTGATAAATATTTCATAATGCTCTCCTCAGAGGTTTAGTAGTTCAACAGGATATAAGATCACCAAGGCTTTTGAGAGGTTTCCAGCTACCTCCACTTTAGTATAAGATCAAGTATTGATTGAGGAAAGGTCAGATTAGTTAATATTGGAGGACAGGAGTCTTTTTACGATGAAGCTGGTTGCGATCCCAGGAGGAAATACGGTGTAGTAAAGTATTAAATATGGCTATCAGAAGATCAGCAAGATGAAAATGATGTGTGTATATCAGCTGCTGTCAAGCAGCCCCCAGTAACTACTGCATTTATTTACCTTTGCCTTTTTTTGGTAGGACTTTAGCATCTTGAATCATTTTGGGTTCATTGCCTTCAAGACTGACCTGGTCAGAGTTCATCATGTTGAAGTTAAAAAGCTCGGAGTCAGTCCGGGTGGTGGTTCGCTGTCGGCCCATGAATAGCAAGGAAAAGGCTGCTTCCTACGACAAGGTGGTGGATGTGGATGTGAAGCTGGGGCAAGTATCGGTGAAGAACCCCAAAGGTACGGCCCATGAAATGCCCAAGACCTTCACCTTTGACGCAGTCTATGACTGGAACGCCAAGCAGTTTGAACTCTACGATGAGACATTCCGACCACTAGTAGACTCTGTGCTGCAAGGTTTCAATGGGACAATTTTTGCCTATGGACAAACTGGGACTGGGAAAACCTACACGATGGAAGGGGTCCGTGGTGACCCTGAAAAAAGAGGGGTCATCCCTAACTCATTTGACCACATCTTCACCCACATCTCTAGATCCCAGAATCAGCAGTATCTGGTCAGGGCTTCTTACTTAGAGATTTACCAGGAGGAGATCCGAGACCTGCTCTCAAAGGACCAGACCAAAAGGCTTGAGCTCAAAGAGAGGCCTGACACTGGGTTGTATGTGAAAGACCTGTCTTCCTTTGTCACCAAGAGCGTGAAGGAGATAGAGCACGTGATGAATGTGGGCAACCAGAACCGCTCTGTCGGTGCTACCAACATGAATGAGCACAGCTCACGTTCTCATGCGATCTTTGTCATCACTATCGAGTGTAGTGAGGTGGGCCTTGATGGTGAGAACCACATTCGTGTAGGGAAATTGAACCTTGTAGATCTGGCTGGCAGTGAACGGCAAGCCAAGACTGGTGCGCAAGGGGAAAGACTGAAGGAAGCAACCAAAATCAACCTCTCCCTTTCAGCCTTGGGGAATGTCATCTCTGCCCTGGTGGATGGCAAAAGCACACACATTCCATATCGAGACTCAAAGCTTACGAGGCTCCTCCAAGATTCCCTTGGTGGCAATGCCAAGACTGTGATGGTAGCCAATGTGGGGCCTGCCTCTTACAATGTAGAAGAGACTCTGACCACTCTAAGATATGCCAACCGTGCCAAAAACATTAAGAACAAGCCAAGGGTCAACGAGGACCCAAAAGATGCCCTCCTTCGAGAATTCCAGGAAGAAATTGCTCGGCTCAAAGCCCAGCTGGAAAAACGGTCCATTGGCAGAAGGAAGAGGCGAGAGAAGCGGAGGGAAGGTGGTGGCACTGGTGGGGATGGAGAAGATGAGGAGGAGGAGGGAGAAGAGGGGGAGGAGGAAGGAGATGATAAGGATGATTACTGGCGGGAACAGCAAGAAAAACTGGAGATTGAGAAGCGGGCTATTGTGGAGGACCACAGTTTGGTTGCAGAGGAGAAGATGAGGTTGTTGAAGGAGAAGGAGAAAAAGATGGAGGACCTGCGACGAGAGAAGGATGCTGCTGAGATGCTGGGCGCCAAAATCAAGGTACCCTACCCTTCCTTGCTTAGAGGTCCTTCCCCTTCTTTTCTCCTCTCCTTCCCTTTCCTCTTTTCTACCCTTCTCTCATCCAGTGTTTGGGCTTAAATCCAGAGCCTTTGTACTGAGTTATATCCCCAGCCCTTTTAAAAAAAGTTTTAGACAGGGTCTCACTAAGTTGTTAGGTTGCCCAGTCTGGGCTCGAACTTGTGATCCTTCTGGCCTAAGCCTCCCAGAGTGCTTGGATTACAGAACTGTACCACTGTTCCTGGCTAGTGCCTTTTCTTTTATCAAAAAATTATGAGTGGGGCCGGGGATTTAGCTCAGTGGTTCCACCACCTGCCTTCGAAGCACAAGGTCCTGAGTTCAATCCCCAGTACCAAAAACAAAAAACAAACAAACAAAATTATATGAGGGATGCTCTCTTGGTTTTGCATTTCTAACTCTATGATACCTAGTGCTCAGTAAACCTTTGTTTAATTGAATCAAAATGAAAAAAGGTTTTTCAAATAAAAAAATAGAAATTAAATTCATAATAATTATTACATATGTGCAAAAGATGAAGAATAGCAGAAAACTAATAAATATCCACATATCCCTCCCTCTCCCATAAAAAAATAGAACAGCACCCACATCTTTAGAAGCTGAATTTGGTGTTTATTATTTTCTTGCTTTTCTTTCAAGTTCTACCATGTATGTAGATCTCTAAATAAAATAGTTTCACATGCTTTTTGTTTTTATATAAGTATGCTCCATGCAATTTGCTTTTATTTGTCTAACATTCTGTTAGTGTGATAAATCTATATTGATGCTGTAGCTGGGACTTGTTCATTAGTACTGTTGTCATTGTTCTGTGGCGTTCCTCTCTCCTAATAGTATGGGGTTGTTCTACTATGGCTTTTCTACTGTAACTGTTCTCATACTTGGTTCCAGGAGAATATGAGGACAGATTGTTTTCTTGTTTTTGTTTTGTTTTATTTTGTTTGTTTTCTGATGGAGCTGGTAGTGGAATATAGGGCTTTGCCCATGCTAGGTAGTCAGGCTGTTTTCTGAAGTGGTAGTGTGAACTGAAGCCTCTCTGAGCAGCCTGAATTCTGCTTGCTCCTTATCTTTAACAACCCTTATGATTATCAGATGAACTTCTGTATATCTGGTGGGCATAAAGTACACAAGACAGAGTAGTGCTCTCACCCCCAAACTGTCCCCTGTAGTCAGCCTGTGCCCCTAACCTCCGATCCTTGCGCTGGTATACTCCCTGACCCCAGGCCTGCCTCAGCCTCCCAAGTTCTAGGATTCCTAGTGTATAAGATTATGCCCATCTCAGCTAATATTTCTTTTCTTTTTCTTTTTTTTTCTTTTTTGGTATCAGGGGATCGAACTCAGGACCTTGAGCTTGCAAGGCAGACACCAGAACCACTGAGCTAAATCCCTGGCCCCTAATGTTTCTTAATTAATAAAAGCAGGGTCATCTCAGCACTCTGGGAGGTTAAGACAGGAGGATCACATGTTCAAGCCTAGGATAGGCGACTTAGCAATCTAGTGAGACCCTGTCTCCAAATAAAAAAATAAAAGACTGGGGATGTGGCACAGTATAAAAGCCCCTGGTACTGAAGGAAAAAAAAAAAGCCAAGGTTGTAGAGTTTTTGGATTCCACACTGCTCAAGTACAAATCACTCCCATGGCCTCAGCCCCCATCTGAATGCTGAAGGCTCCCAGTTTGTACCTCCAGCCCAGAGCTGTCTCCTAACATACATGTCTCCCTATCTTCCAGCTCCTGGTGTCTCCACTGAGATGCCCCTGGCCCCAGAGCCTGCTCTGTTCTTTACCTCTGTGTAGCCAGCCTGTAGGAGTATTTGTTTCGTTTTGTTTAGGGACAAGGTCTTGCTTGTTGTCTAGGCTGGGCTTGAACTCACTATGTAGCCCAGCCTGGCCTGGAGCTCACAGCGATCCTCCTGCCTCAGCCTCCTGAGTGCTGGGATTATAGATGTGCACCACCATGCCTGGCCATGAGTTATTCTTGCCAGTTGTCCTCCCTCTCATTTTAAGGCCCTGTCAATTCCACGGCCTCTGGACCTTGCCTCATCAGGGTCTCTTCCTATGCCTCACTGCTGGCACCCAATGCAAGCCTGCACTCCACAGCAGCCTCACAATGGGTCCCTGGCCAGCCTGCCCTGTTGCAGTCATTGTCTCTGTGGCAGGGGTACAGTGTCTGTGAAGCCCAAATCTGACTGTATGCCCTTGTGCTCGGAGAACTTGTCATGCTGCCTGAGGTCCTCTCTCCCTGACAGGCCTTGGGGTTGGCAACTGACCCTGCTGGTTTTGGCAGCTTCAGGCCACTCTCTACCCTGCCCTCTCACAAAACCTTTTTTTCTTAGTGAACTCCTATTTTTTACTTTAGCTTTCTGTCTAGGTATTGCTTCAGACAGGAAGCTTTCTCTGAAAGACTGAATTCTCCCTCTTTGGCAAGGTTCTCCGTTAATTACTCTGAACTTACCTCGGGATGGGATCCGACACCATCTAGTTCCTGCCTGCCTGCTTGTCTGTGTCTCCCAGTGGACTCTGAGCCTTGCAGTTCTCATTGACATCTGCATCCCCAGGTCCTGGCATATAAGTGGTGTTCGGTCTGTTCTAAGTGGGCTTAGTGCTTTGTGTAAACTAGGCAGAACAGCACTTTTTAAAGCTGAAATCCACGCATGTCCAGAGAAGCTGTACCTTCAGTATCACCGAGGTTAAGGAAGGGTATATGTACAGTATATATGTACAACATATAAGAACTAAGAGCCCCATAGCTCAGCGGTTTTGGCGCCTGCTGTATAAGCGCAAGGACCCCAGTTCGATCCCTGGTACCAAAAAAAAAAAAGAACTAAGAGCCCTTGCACTGAACCACACCCACCCAACTGTTTTTTTTTTTTTTTGAGACAAGGTCTTGTTAAGTTGCCCAGCCTAGTCTCAAATTTCCAATTTTCCTGCCTCAGCCTCCTGAATAGCAGGGATTACAGGTGTGTGCTACTGCTCCTAACTAGTATATTTTTTGAATTTTGTTTCCTATGTAGTTCAGGCTGGCCTTGAACATACTATGTAGCCCAGGCTGGCTCGAACTTGCAGCATTCCTGCCATCTCGGCCTCTGGAGTGCTGGGATTATAGGCATGCATCACTATACCTGGCCCAGTATTTTCCCCCCCAGAGTTTGTCCCCTTTGGCTCAGTCCAGAACTCTTTATATTTCTTGGGTTCCCCTACGAGGAGCTATGTTCTAGGGGAGACCATTCACAAGATGGATTCTACTTTTCTCATTCAGGCTATGGAGAGTAAACTTCTTGTTGGAGGAAAAAATATAGTAGATCATACGAATGAACAGCAGAAAATCTTGGAGCAGAAACGGCAAGAAATTGCAGAACAGGTAATTTTGCATTCTTTGCTGGGGAGAAGGAGGTGAACTAAAATGAGTTTATGCCACAGAGAAAATACCTCTGGTGTGAGGCTGTCTTCAATGAGAATGGAGACAAGTTGTATTAGCTTCAAAATGCTAGTCAAGACTGATGGGAGCACCCAGCTCTGTATTCTTGTACTGACATAGTCTCTAGGACAAGCTGCTAAGTTTGTGCTATTCCTTAGAAACGTCGAGAGAGAGAAATCCAGCAACAGATGGAAAGTCGAGACGAGGAGACCTTGGAACTTAAAGAGACATACAGCTCATTGCAGCAAGAAGTGGACATCAAGACCAAAAAACTCAAAAAGGTATGAGAGGACTGAGGGCAGGCCAAGGCACCTTGCAACTGAGGGTAAAGGAGACCTCTGCTCTTGAAGGACACTCCTCATCTGTCTCTCCCCCTTCCAGCTCTTCTCCAAGCTTCAGGCGGTGAAGGCTGAGATCCATGACCTCCAAGAAGAGCACATCAAGGAGCGCCAGGAACTGGAGCAGACGCAGAACGAGCTCACTCGAGAGCTGAAACTCAAGTAAGTGTGCGCTCTGTGTGGTGCTCAGCCACCACGGGGTCACCAGCCTTGTATGTCAAGTAGGAAACATCCGCAAAGATAGAGCCCTGGCCTGTTTCCTGCCAGCTCAGCTCCCACCACCCTGCTGTCTTCTGTTTATTCCTAAGAAGCACTTTGCATTTCTGGGTCCATTTCTGCGAGATCACCAGATGATCTCCAGTTCTTTTCCATCCTACTTTATTGAAGTTTTTGAAGTTCTGCTCTCACTTCTATCTACTGATAAAAGGACTTTTGACTTTTTTTGGGGGGGTGTTACTGGGGATCTAACACAGGAGCTTGTACTTGTGAGGCAGGTGCGGCACCACTGAGCTAAATCCCTGGGCCTGACTTTTGACTTTTTATTGAGAAATTGTCCTGATGGTCTAATGAACCCCCAAAGAGTCATCACCCAGATTTGAACACACTGAGAACCATTATTCTCATGAAGTCTGGGCAAAATATTCTTTCAGAACTCTGCAGGTGATACTAATATGCAGCCTGGCTTAAGAACTACCTAACTATCATGCGCAGTAGAATGTGCCTATAATCCCAGCTACTCAAAAGCCTGAGGCAGGAGAATCACAAGTTCAAGGGTAGCATGGGCACCTTAGTGAGACCCTGTCTCAAAATAAAAGGGTCTGGGGATGTGGCCTAGTGGTAGAGCACTTACATAGCATGAGTGAGGCCTGGCCCAACCTCTGGATTCTAGCTTCAGAACCTTCCAAAAGGAGAGCTAAACAGAGATAGAGATAGAGGTACAGATAGAGATAGAGAGAAATAGAGGAGGTAAGAAAGAAAGAGAGAGAGAGATGTATTATTTCTTTTTTTTTTTGTATTAAATTCTTTTATTGGTACATTGTAGGTATACAACACAATTACATTTCTCATTGG